ACAACGCCCGGCTATTTTTTGGTTGCAGCCGTCATTGTTGTTTTGGCGGTCCGGGCTGGGGATTCGAACCCGCCACCTTAGGTGTACGTGGCTGGCGCCCCAGCCGGTTGAGCCACAGGCGCAGAGCCAAACCCAGGGCCTTTCCATCCCTCCCGCTCCTCCTTTTGCTATCCTTCCCAGGCTGTGGCCTTTCCCATCATCCGCCCTACCCCAGGTGTTAGGCTTCCCCTAAGAAAACTCATCTTCCTCCCTGATCAGTTCTGATACAGTTATTGACCTGGTATCATGACTGATTGATCTTTTCTTTACACTGCCTTCAAAGGTTTAGTTTGAAGTTGAATATACCTGTAGCTCCAAAATGCTTAAAAACCCTCAAATATTTATCCACTAATAAGTGAGTTCATATGTGGAAAGTGCTGGCACATGGAAAGCATGCAGTAATGTGAGCCATCATCATTACCATCACCACTGCTGTTACATGTGCAAGGGCCTGTCCCAGATGCTGAAGGGCACAGGGGCGGGGCTGGGGGTGGGAGTAAGGCAGACTCACTCTCCCCTAGGCTTCACAATCCAGGTGGGGAAACAAGACCCAAACTCACAAACAGTTAATTGTGCAACCACACAGGAAATAAATGGCAGGCCACTTTACTAACATAAAAGCTATCTCAAGGTAATAATGGTCTAGTAACCAGCTTAATGCCCAAAGGGTCCAAGAAGAGAGAGGTCATTTTCAATTGGAGTAGTTGAAGGGGGACAGAACTGTGAAGAGAACCACTTTGGACAGTCAGGAGGGGGAAGGAGGGGGACAGAATGAGCCCAAGCAGACAGGCACAAAATGTCAAAGTTTGTTCAGGGGCTGCTGAGTTGCTACAGGTTAGAAGAAAACATGGGAAAATAGGTTTTAAAAAGGATGTGGAGAGCCTTGAATGAGAGGCTAAGAAGTTTATATTTAATCCTAGAGGCAAAAAGCAATCACTGAAAATGTAGCAGGGTCATTTCCTGAAACATGACTTTGTAAGGTCCCCAATGATAATAAAGAGACAAAATGATCCAGAGTATGTCTCAAAAGAAGTTTGCAAAATCTACACAAAGAAAACCTTCAAAGGCTCCTGAGGCACACAGAAAATCTGAATAGATGGATAGGCAAACTGAGTTCTTAAATAAAAAACTCAATACCAAGTTATCAATTCATCCCAAATTAACATATATTGAGGGCCAGGCGCAGTGGCTCACGCCTATAATCCTAGCAGTCTGGGAGGCCAAGGTGGGAGGATCATGTGAACTCAGGAATTCGAGACCAGCATGAGCAAGAGGAAGACCCCA